GGGCTAATAATTCGTGGTCAGAAATTTTTAGAGATTTAGAGAGCGCCAATTTTCGCGCCATTCACGATTTAGACCAGGGGGAGGTAGCACCATGCAGAAGCGAAGAGTTCGGCGACTTACATGGGGACAACTGTGGACCAGACTCAAGAAGCTAGGGTGGCAATTTGAGCGACCAAAGGGGCTAGCTACCGAGAATCGCTACTTTACACCTGATGGATGGAAGAAAAGGCCAAACGTAACACACCTTGTCGACTATTTCGACGGAGCTGACGAAGTATGGCAACACGTGCCAGTTGATGGTACGAATCGGCTCATTTTAATTTTGTTATATTGTTATTAACTCATTACACAGTTATCTATGACATGCCGCCTGCCAAACGACACGCCACTACGAGCTCCCCTCTATTAATTCCACTGGGTGCCCCCGAGCCGCCAGTCAACTCCCCCGTGATTCCGCCTGCCCAGTCGCCTGCGAAGACGCCTGTCAAGTCGCCTGCGACAACACCTGCCAAGTCGTCTGCGAGGACGCCTGCCCAGTCGCCTGCGAAAACGCCTGCCAAGTCGCCTGCGACAACACCTGCCAAGTCGCCTGCGAAGACACCTGCCAAAGCACCTGCCAAGTCACCTCGGAAGACGACTACAAAGTCAGCTGAAAAGACATCTGCCAAGTCACCCACCAATACGCCAGCCAAGTCGCCGGCTAAGTCCCCCGCCCAAGCTCCTGCTAAGGGCCAGACGCCAAGAAAGAAACGTGCGCGTAAAGAGGTCGCTGCGTCTCCTATACCGTCACTACGTCCACTACGGTCGTGTACTGTTCGCGCAGCAGAAGTGGACATATCTGTTGGTGATGACCGTTTAAGCTCTGGTGACGAGGACGACTTCCAAGTCGATGAAGGCGATGAGTCCGACATTGAAGGTACAAGTGAAACTTCTGCTGGTGAAGAGGAAGAAAACACCAGCGATGAGGAAGATGCAGTCGATCTCTCAGCGGGAACTCCATTCGACCAGATGAACAAGGACCAGCTGAGCGAACACGCGAAAACAGGCTGGACGACCTACTTCGAAGATTCATGTGAGTGCTTTCGTGTACTATACAGGATAACGAGTGTCCTTTGCTTCGGCTATCCTGTACTCGACACTAATACCCATATATCGTTGCTATATAGGCGCTTCCCTTCAGCTGCCATCGGCAGAGCTTACACGCTGCTCCGCCACACCTACGGAGTTGGCTACTGCACTGGGGAGTAACTTGGAAGGATTGTTTTTCCTGTTCCTGCCTAAATCGATGTGGATGTCTATCGCTACGGAATCAAATCGGTACCAGCTTCAGTATCGAACGCAGGCAGCGGACGAAATAATGGCACGACAGCGACAGCTCAAGCTGAGGCGACCTGAGTACAAGATGAAAACTGTACAGCAAGTCCAGGCTGAGCAACGATCGTTCGAGCCAATACAAGCGCATGAGCTGGTACATTTCATTGGTTTACTGTATGCCCGAACCCTTTGCCCGCACCGTGAGAAGCTGTCGAAGCATTGGGCGGTGGATGTACAAGGCGCGGTTCCTAAAGGCACATTTGGGCGATACATGTCGCGAAAGCGATTCGAAGAGATCGTACGATTCTTGCATTTTAGCGACAACAGTCATCCTGACGCTCTCAAGTTCAAGACGTGGAAGATTAAGCCTGTCGCGGACACGATCAACGCAACGTTCAAGCTGGGGATGACAGTAGGGCAACGAATCGCCTTCGACGAAGGAATGATACCGATGAGTAGCAAGTTCAACCCCATGCGGCAGTTTCTTCGAGGAAAACCTCACCCATGGGGTACTAAGTGCTTCTTGACTTGCGATGCAGAGAGCGGGTACTGCTACAGGTAATGGATCACTTAGTCTACAGAACATTGTATTATCCAGGTACTAAGTAATTATGCTTGTGTCTTATTCTGTATAGGGCTGAGATATACCAAGGAAAGCTCAACAGTGACTGTGCGGACCTGAACCAAGGCCCCAACGCTGTGATCCGTAATGTTGAAGAGGTGCTGGAAGGACTACCAAGGAAGCGTCTGATCATCACCGACCGTTTCTACTCAAGTGTGCTGCTGTCGTCGATCCTTCTACAACGTGGACTCTACCATGTCGGCACCATTCAAACGAATCGGCGAGGCTACTGTAAAGACATTCCGTACAAGCAAGCTAAACGACCAAAGACGATGGCGAGAGGGGTATACCGGATTGCACAGTCCAAGACTGAGCCGAATTTGATTGCAGTGTCATGGATGGACAACCGTCCTGTACACTTCATTGCTACGGGGTGAAGTACCCGACCGACAACCCTGTCAAGACGCGCAGGTGCTGAAGTAGTTGACGTGCCAGCTCCTTAACTCGTGAAAGACTATCAAGATGGCATGGGAGGAGCAGATATTCATGACCAACTGCGCTTGCAAAGATACTCGATTCAGGTATTACTTGCTCTTTTCTTATCCTGTATTATACATGACAATGTAAACTAACGGTCGAATGTTTTCCTGTATACTACAGAGAGCGATGAAAATGAAGAAATATTACCACACAATCTTTCTTGGGTTAGTTGACATGGCGCTTACCAACGCATACATCATCTATCGACGTATTCAAGGCAATCTTGCTCCCGGTAAAAGCACCCCCGACATATGCTGAGTTTCAGCGGCTGATGCAGACTGCACTACTCAACATTGGACCGGCTGACTTTGCAGGAGACTTGTCAGTTGAAGCATTGGCAGACACTCCGGTTTCCCGCTCGTCAGCTCCGCGCTACACGCTACCAGCACAGCACACGACTAAACAAGTGAGCGTATTTCGCACAACACGTGGAAAGAGCGGGGCCTACTCACAGAAGCGCCGTCAATACGACTGCAAAGTGTGCTCGTTGCTGCGTCCGGGCAAGAACCCGTGGGAAACCACGTTTTACTGTGTGGAGTGCTCCGAAGTGAGGATGCGGAGCGTGGATGACGATAACGCCGTTGGAAGAGAGAGGGTGTATCTATGCTAAAAGGTGCGGCAACATGATCCTAGTGGAACTACAAACTCGGCCACCTGCAGCCAGATATGGCACGATCTATGGCGGGGAGGAGCGACAATTCCTCCCGGTCTCAAGGCTATTCGGCTGCGTGCTCCTACTAGAGCAGGTGCGCAACGTATAGACGAGCTATGACGGTTCCAGCGTAGGGTCGGGAAATTCACGAAGCACAGCGAGCGCTACGAATGCAGGACATTCTGCAGAGAATATTTGTGAAGTAGTACAGACAGCAGTGATCTAATCAATCCTATGAATAATCAAATATGGAATGAATGCAAACTCTTTGTGAGTTATGGTTTTTGTTGATATTTAGACATTTTTCCCTGTAGCCGATTTGTGCGATACAGGATATAGTGCCATATGTTAGAGCCACCATTTTAACTCTTACCCTGTACTGCACAGAGTAGATACCTGACAGAGATTGTGAGCTTGGAAAAACTCCGCAAATAATAAACCCAAGTCATTTTCTTACCCTGTAGGATACAGGCTAATTTCCGCCCGAAAACGCGGGGCTAGAGGGGTTAAACCTGCAGTAGT